CTACTTGGGTAAGTGCCTCTTGCTACAGCTTTTTATCAGCTTACAGTCTACCACTGGGTTAATTGTCTCTTGCTACAGCTTTTTATCAGCTTACAGTCTACCACGGGGGTAAGTGCCTTTTGCTACAGCTTTTTATCAGCTTACAGTCTATCTCGGGGGTAAGTGTCTCTTGTTACAGTTGACAGCCTACCACTCGAGTAGTAGCTTTGCACAAAGCTCAACAAATAGACAAACAACAATAATTTATCATCTGGCTTCAATCTCCCACTCGCTAGTTACCACTGACTATTTTTTCTTTCATTAAAATGTTTCATAAAAAAAAAAGCGTGTTTAATGTATCGTTTGTATAACAACAGGCCAGTCCACCAACAAATGCGACATTTTAAGAAACGTTTGGTAAACATTTAGTTCAAACGAATCTAAGTTCGCATACTTCAGACTGTGATACACGCGTTTATTCTTACAATATCTCCCGCGCACACTCAGATTATTCTACTGTGTTCAAGGAGGGCGCAACATGTGACAGCAAAATAGACGAAGGCATGTAAACTGACATACAGCAAAGATAGGTTTTCCATCTAGTTACTCGAGTGTGATTAATGCTCTTAGACTTTGACATTGAGAGTGAAAAAGGTTTATACGAACTTGTGTAGATTAATAAGTTATACAAAAAAAAAGGGTTGAATCAACAAAAGATATTATTTCTAGGATGAACGAACATCTGGAAAGACGCAAGAATTTTTCGGAGAGCGTCATTTCTCTTGAATACTTCAATGAAACGCTACTCGATCTAAACTTCACCGACAACAAAGAGCATCACCAGAATTTGTATGACCAACCAGTTATCAAAGAGGTACGAGTCACCACGCTCTGGGTTTTGGCTGTTTTTGGGGCTCTGGGGAACTCAATTGTACTCTATTGGCTCTGGAACCATAGAGCCAGAAAGTCACGTGCCCTGCGTCTCTTCTTGAACCTGACAATAGCGGACGTATTGGTAACGGTATGTGCCACTGGTCCTCAACTGGTCTGGGAATATTATGGGCGAGAATGGCGGGCAGGTGATGCCATGTGCCGGCTGGTTAAAATTCTCACAGAATTTCTCTATCTGTGCTTCCAATTACTTGATAGTAGCCATTGCCTTAGATCGTTACAAGTCCATCAGGCGACCTCTGACTCTTCCGTGGAAGGTAGATTTCAATTAGAATTACATAAGTAACTTAGAGAAATATTATTATAGCTTAGAATAGGAAATTTTAAAGAGCACTATGACAGATGTGATAGCTTAAAAGCAGAATTATCCTAAAAAATATTAAGTTCTCTGTACGTATATAAAATATAATTGAACTTATCACAAAATATTTGAATTTGTGTCGAATCTTGTATGGACTTAAATAATGTGCATAAAGCGAAATGTTCATTCTAGGAGTTATGTAATAAGCAGGTTCTAAAATGGTTTATATTTACTTATATATATATATCGTTAAGTAAGGCTAAGAAACAAAAGCAAAATATAAATGGGATCTGGTATGACTTCTCGCCGTGGCGTAAAGAATCACACACACACACACACACTGGACGGAGTGTGTTTGTCAGTAAGGTTTCTCGAAAAAGGCTGAATAGATTTGGACGAAAGTTCTTATACATTTGGACTATGACCCAACTTAGAACTGATTAGTTGTCGTAGGGTTAAGGTCAAAGGTCAAGGTCACGAAAATAAAAATAACCCCTCTCTGTTAACATGGGGACTGACTTTTTGCTCTATAACGCAGTCAAAAATGATCGTATTTTAATGAAACTTGGTGAACATATGTAGAATATTATTCCTCATTGTCCTGCCTAAAATGGTTCGTATCTGTTGATAACGACGAACATACGGACACATTGTTTGAGAGCCAACTATGAAAACGCTGCTAGTTACTATGTTAAACAACCCGCACCTTTTATGATATACTAGCAGAAATCAGCAAAACATTTGGGGCCAAATGAGTATTTTTTATTGCAACAGTACTTTTTTAAATACAGGATTTCTAAAATAATACACAATAATTACCATCGCAGACACCGAAATCCATAAGTCCATTTGTCTTAGTCCTGACATTAGTTAAGCCTTTATTAAATACGGTCTTTATTAGATAACTTAACACTGTAACTTGTGTACGTTTTTTTCTTTAGTTCAGTTAGGGCTAAGTTTCTTACCAAAATTAATACTATCAATAAATAAACTTCTAATATTATTGTACGACCTGACGTTAGACATTTTTAAAAACTTTGATAAACGTTTAATATGTTGTATAGTATATTTACGTCCTTTCTGACGTAACTCAACGATTTAACAAAGATACGTTTTCAAATTGCGAAAAAGGTGCAATTTTTTGTACATTTTATTCCAAATACATCTATAATATTCAACCAATCGTTGAATACTCGTTTCTAATTGATAGGAAGCCAAACTACTTAAATTACGTAATAAGTTGTTATGACGTTAGTGCGTTACCGAGAGACAGACAGACAGATACACCCTGTGTTTTATAGTATTAGATGTGGCTCTCGTATCGCAGAGTAACAAAGATTATGTTGTTCAAGCATACTGGATTGATAAAAAAAACAAAAAACGTTACCTCACATTTTATTCTCTCTGCACCAAACAAACGACATTTCTTGAAGTTAATTATTCAACGCAAGTTCGATAAAACTTCAGTAGTGTAAGCTAATATGGCAGATGCTATGTCTATCAGATATGCTAAATCGCACAGCTACAGATAGAAAGCTATTTTAGCAACATTCGAATATTTAAAATAAAGTAACAGATTCACACTCTACTCCAAGACCAGTTAGAAGAAATATCTGTTTCATACAGTTTAATGTGAAATGACAGTAAACCCTTGGACCCAGACGTTACATTGTAGCAAAT